AAACCATGGCACGAGAAATACGTGACAAATGCACAAGCTTCAGTAACCGTCTCGATCAACTGGAAGAAAGAATGTCAGCGATGGAGGATCAAATGAATGAAATGAAGCGAGAAGAGAAAACAAAAGAAAAAAGAAGAAAAAGAAATGAACAAAGCCTGCAAGAAGTATGGGATTATGTAAAAAGACCAAATCTACGTCTGATTGGGGTGCCTGAAAGTGAGGGGGAAAACGGAACCAAGTTGGAAAACACTCTTCAGGATATCATCCAGGAGAACTTCCCCAACCTAGTAGGGCAGGCCAACATTCAAATCCAGGAAATACAGAGAACGCCACAAAGATACTCCTCGAGAAGAGCAACTCCAAGACACATAATTGCCAGATTCACCAAAGTTGAAATGAAGGAAAAAATCTTAAGGGCAGCCAGAGAGAAAGGTCGGGTTACCCACAAAGGGAAGCCCATCAGACTAACAGCAGATCTCTCGGCAGAAACTCTTCAAGCCAGAAGAGAGTGGGGGCCAATATTCAACATTCTTAAAGAAAAGAATTTTAAACCCAGAATTTTATATCCAGCCAAACTAAGTTTCATAAGTGAAGGAGAAATAAAATCCTTTACAGATAAGCAAATGCTTAGAGATTTTGTCACCACTAGGCCTGCCTTACAAGAGACCCTGAAGGAAGCACTAAACATGGAAAGGAACAACCGGTACCAGCCATTGCAAAAACATGCCAAAATGTAAAGACCATCAAGGCTAGGAAGAAACTGCATCAACTAACGAGCAAAATAACCAGTTAATACCATAATGGCAGGATCAAGTTCACACATAACAATCTTAACCTTAAATGTAAATGGACTAAATGCTCCAATTAAAAGACACAGACTGGCAAACTGGATAAAGAGTCAAGACCCATCAGTCTGCTGTATTCAGGAGACCCATCTCACACGCAGAGACATACATAGGCTCAAAATAAAGGGATGGAGGAAGATTTACCAAGCAAATGGAGAACACAAAAAAGCAGGGGTTGCAATACTAGTCTCTGATAAAACAGACTTTAAACCATCAAAGATCAAAAGAGACAAAGAAGGACATTACATAATGGTAAAGGGATCAATTCAACAGGAAGAGCTAACTATCCTAAATATATATGCACCCAATACAGGAGCACCCAGATTCATAAAGCAAGTCCTTAGAGACTTACAAAGAGACTTAGACTCCCATACAATAATAATGGGAGACTTCAACACTCCACTGTCAACATTAGACAGATGAACGAGACAGAAAGTTAACAAGGATATCCAGGAATTGAACTCATCTCTGCAGCAAGCAGACCTAATAGACATCTACAGAACTCTCCACCCCAAATCAACAGAATATACATTCTTCTCAGCACCACATCGTACTTACTCCAAAATTGACCACGTAATTGGAAGTAAAGCACTCCTCAGCAAATGTACAAGAACAGAAATTATAACAAACTGTCTCTCAGACCACAGTGCAATCAAACTAGAACTCAGGACTAAGAAACTCAATCAAAACCGCTCAACTACATGGAAACTGAACAACCTGCTCCTGAATGACTACTGGGTACATAATGAAATGAAGGCAGAAATAAAGATGTTCTTTGAAACCAATGAGAACAAAGATACAACATACCAGAATCTCTGGGACACATTTAAAGCAGTGTGTAGAGGGAAATTTATAGCACTAAATGCCCACAAGAGAAAGCAGGAAAGATCTAAAATTGACACTCTAACATCGCAATTAAAAGAACTAGAGAAGCAAGAGCAAACACATTCGAAAGCTAGCAGAAGGCAAGAAATAACTAAGATCAGAGCAGAACTGAAGGAGATAGAGACACAAAAAACCCTCCAAAAAATCAATGAATCCAGGAGTTGGTTTTTTGAAAAGATCAACAAAATTGACAGACCACTAGCAAGACTAATAAAGAAGAAAAGAGAGAAGAATCAAATCAACGCAATTAAAAATGATAAAGGGGATATCACCACCGACCCCACAGAAATACAAACTACCATCAGAGAATACTATAAACACCTCTACGCAAATAAACTGGAAAATCTAGAAGAAATGGATAATTTCCTGGACACTTACACTCTTCCAAGACTAAACCAGGAAGAAGTTGAATCCCTGAATAGACCAATAGTAGGCTCTGAAATTGAGGCAATAATTAATAGCCTACCAACCAAAAAAAGTCCAGGACCAGATGGATTCACAGCTGAATTCTACCAGAGGTACAAGGAGGAGCTGGTACCATTCCTTCTGAAACTATTCCAATCAATAGAAAAAGAGGGAATCTTCCCTAACTCATTTTATGAGGCCAACATCATCCTGATACCAAAGCCTGGCAGAGACACAACAAAAAAAGAGAATTTTAGACCAATATCCCTGATGAACATCGATGCAAAAATCCTCAATAAAATACTGGCAAACCGGATTCAGCAGCACATCAAAAAGCTTATCCACCATGATCAAGTGGGCTTCATCCCTGGGATGCAAAGCTAGTTCAACATTCGCAAATCAATAAACATAATCCAGCATATAAACAGAACCAAAGACAAGAACCACATCATTATCTCAATAGATGCAGAAAAGGCTTTTGACAAAATTCAACAGCCCTTCATGCTAAAAACGCTCAATAAATTCGGTATTGATGGAACGTACCTCAAAATAATAAGAGCTATTTATGACAAACCCACAGCCAATATCATACTGAATGGGCAAAAACTGGAAAAATTCCCTTTGAAAACTGGCACAAGACAGGGATGCCCTCTCTCACCACTCCTATTCAACATAGTGTTGGAAGTTCTGGCTAGGGCAATCAGGCAAGAGAAAGAAATCAAGGGGATTCAGTTAGGAAAAGAAGAAGTCAAATTGTCCCTGTTTGCAGATGACATGATTGTATATTTAGAAAACCCCATTGTCTCAGCCCAAAATCTCCTTAAGCTGATCAGCAACTTCAGCAAAGTCTCAGGATACAAAATTAATGTGCAAAAATCACAAGCATTCTTATACACCAGTGACAGTCAAACAGAGAGCCAAATCAGGAATGAACTTCCATTCACAATTGCTTCAAAGAGAATAAAATACCTAGGAATCCAACTTACAAGGGATGTAAAGGACCTCTTCAAGGAGAACTACAAACCACTGCTCAGTGAAATCAAAGAGGACACAAACAAATGGAAGAACATACCATGCTCATGGATAGGAAGAATCAATATCGTGAAAATGGCCATACTGCCCAAGGTAATTTATAGATTCAATGCCATCCCCATCAAGCTACCAATGAGCTTCTTCACAGAATTGGAAAAAACTGCTTTAAAGTTCATATGGAACCAAAAAAGAGCCCGCATCTCCAAGACAATCCTAAGTCAAAAGAACAAAGCTGGAGGCATCACGCTACCTGACTTCAAACTATACTACAAGGCTACAGTAACCAAAACAGCATGGTACTGGTACCAAAACAGAGATATAGACCAATGGAACAGAACAGAGTCCTCAGAAATAATACCACACATCTACAGCCATCTGATCTTTGACAAACCTGAGAGAAACAAGAAATGGGGAAAGGATTCCCTATTTAATAAATGGTGCTGGGAAAACTGGCTAGCCATAAGTAGAAAGCTGAAACTGGATCCTTTCCTTACTCCTTATACGAAAATTAATTCAAGATGGATTAGAGACTTAAATGTTAGACCTAATACCATAAAAATCCTAGAGGAAAACCTAGGTAGTACCATTCAGGACATAGGCATGGGCAAAGACTTCATGTCTAAAACACCAAAAGCAACGGCAGCAAAAGCCAAAATTGACAAATGGGATCTCATCAAACTAAAGAGCTTCTGCACAGCAAAAGAAACTACCATCAGAGTGAGCAGGCAACCTACAGAATGGGAGAAAATTTTTGCAATCTACTCATCTGACAAAGGGCTAATATCCAGAACCTACAAAGAACTCAAACAAATTTACAAGAAAAAAACAAACAACCCCATCAAAAAGTGGGCAAAGGATATGAACAGACATTTCTCAAAAGAAGACATTCATACAGCCAACAGACACATGAAAAAATGCTCATCATCACTGGCCATCAGAGAAATGCAAATCAAAACCACAATGAGATACCATCTCACACCAGTTAGAATGGCGATCATTCAAAAGTCAGGAAACAACAGGTGCTGGAGAGGATGTGGAGAAATAGGAACACTTTTACACTGTTGGTGGGATTGTAAACTAGTTCAACCATTATGGAAAACAGTATGGCGATTCCTCAAGGATCTAGAACTAGATGTACCATATGACCCAGCCATCCCATTACTGGGTATATACCCAAAGGATTATAAATTATGCTGCTATAAGGACACATGCACACGTATGTTTATTGCAGCACTATTCACAATAGCAAAGACTTGGAATCAACCCAAATGTCCATCAGTGACAGATTGGATTAAGAAAATGTGGCACATATACACCATGGAATACTATGCAGCCATAAAAAAGGATGAGTTTGTGTCCTTTGTAGGGACATGGATGTAGCTGGAAACCATCATTCTTAGCAAACTATCACAAGAACAGAAAACCAAACACCGCATGTTCTCACTCGTAGGTGGGAACTGAACAATGAGATCACTTGGACTCGGGAAGGGGAACATCACACACCGGGGCCTATCATGGGGAGGGGGGAGGGGGGAGGGATTGTATTGGGAGTTATACCTGATGTAAATGACGAGTTGATGGGTGCAGCACACCAACATGGCACAAGTATACATATGTAGCAAACCTGCACGTTGTGCACATGTACCCTACAACTTGAAGTTTAATAATAATAAATAAATTAAAAAAAAAAAAAAAAAAAAAGACATGTCTACATATATGGAATGAATTGGATGCTTACATTAAAAAGGAAAAACTATACGGTCTCTGAAAATTCTCCCTGATACTCACCTCAAAAATATAATAAGAAAAATATAGACAAAAACATAGCCTTACTTCACAACTTTGCCACTGGTTTGGGATACTTGGTCGAAACTTCTGGTCACAAACAACCTTTCTCATTTCCTCTATCGAGGGATCTGAAGGCACCATGTCATAATAAGGCAATTGGTACTCCTCAACAATTCCTGTAAGAAATTTGCGTAATAAATTTCCATGTGCAAATAACAAACAAAGATGTCTATTTCAAATAATACCAATTAAGTTTTCTAGGCACAAGTGACACCCCAGGGAACTGGAAAGCCAAGTCTATTAAAATAATGTGTCACTATAAAATCAAGATATAAATTTAAATCACCCAGTTGAATAAAGTTATAAAAAGTTATATTATAAATTTTTTCATAACTGTAAAATGTATATAAGATTATATAAAATTATAATAAATAAAATAATTTTATAATTATTTAATACATAAAATTTCTATTTTATAATTATATAAAATAAATTTTATATTTTTCTATAATTAAAATTATGTAAATTTTTATTCAATTAAAATGCCATTATACAATATAAAAGTAATGCCTTTCTTTTGATTATGAAATTTGTAGCACAGCTTCATTGCTTTGTGAATGAAATGCATATATTTTCCCATCAGATAACTTTTCCAAAACAAAACAGCTTTCTCTCTTTGAAAACTTTTAGGCAATCTTTTTAACATTGGGTTTCTTACATTTAGACTTCAGAACTACTGAACCTGAGAATGTTCTGGAGAAGAAGCCAAAGATAGTTGAAGATAGACCGTTCAACATGAAGGTTAATATTTAAAGAGTCTCAAAGACAAAGACAAAGATGACCTTAATTATTAGAATACTACTTAAATTCCAAGAAATCCCTTATAAAATCTTTTTAATTAACTGCAATGCTTTTAAGTTAAAATATGTGAGACATGCTATAATACTAGACAACTAACTATAATTCACGTCTGCTAAATTACTATTTTTATAGTTGAAGAAAAGTTAAGGACAAAATCTAAAAGCAACTCTAGACTAATATCAATATGAAATTTTTACAAAAAATTATTAACATGTTTGAAATCTTGCTATTTGCCATGAATTGCCCTAATGCCTTTACAGGTTTTAACTAATCAGTCCTCAAAACTACTGACTAAACAAGGTACAGTATTATTTGTTTTACAGACAAGGAAACTGAGGCACAGAATGTTATGAATTTGTTCAGAGACACAGAGGTACTAAGTGGCAAATCTGTAATTCAAACACTAGTGTCCACTAGGGTTTTATAATGTTTTATAATATCATCTATGAATAAAAGAGAAAAAGTATATATGTTTGCTCATTCAGACATACTTTTAACCTTAGAAGCTTTTCATAAAATCTGCAAGGTTTTTTAAAAAATGAGATTAATGTAATGCAAAATGACATCAATACAAAGTGCAAAAATATGACAATAGTTTAATAATGACAGCTCTTTAATTGAATGTTTACTGTGAACAGGCTCTGTACTAAAAGCTTCACATGAATTAATTCATTAAATCCTTAAAGCCCAAGGGATCAGTTTTTGTATTATCTTCATTTTACAGATGAGGAAATTACTACTAAGTAACTTGCCTGAAGTCGGACATTGAAGGAATTGCTAAACCATTGCTTAGTCCTAAGTCTGTCTCACTTGAAAGTGGAAACTCTAAACCATTTTCTACCAGCATTTAACTTTTTCTCTACTGATGCAACAATTTCATCAGACGTATTTACAGGGCTTCCCCCTCCCTAATTCTTTCTCTCATTATTAAGTACCTTTTTTTTTTTTTTTTTTTTTTTTTTTTTTTTGAGATAGAGTTTTGCTCTTGTTGCCCAGGCTGGAGTACAATGGCGCAATCTCAGCTCATGAGCCCCCACGCCTGGCTAATTTTGTATTTTCAGTAGAGACGGGGTTTCTCCATGTTGATCAGGTTGGTGTCAAACTCCTGACCTCAGTGATCCACCCGCCTGGGCCTCCCAAAGTGTTGGGATTACAGGCATGAGTCACATTCCCAGGTGCATTATTAAGTTCTAAATTGCTGGGAGCAGGAAAGGTAGGAAGTTTGTCTTTGTCCGCCTCTTCCCACACCTTTATCCAACCCCACAACATTTATCATATCACAGGGAAGAAAAAAAAAAACAAGAAAAGCTTAAGAAATTGAACCCTTCAAGTCCTGTTGCCTCTGCAAATCATTTAACATCTTTGGGATATAAGTTAGGAATACCAGCTTATGGCTTACAAACTCAAATAATTTTCAAGTACTTCATAAAGTGTCATATGGAAATAAAAATTATCAGGAGAACTGTCACCCCACTAAGCAGTAATCACAATATAAAATCTCCATTACAAGCAAGATATCCCACTTTTGCCACTGGAAATATATCACCAAAAGGTATTCTTTTCAATATAGTGCTTGGGGAAAAAAGAATATCACATCTTGTATTCAGAGTATCAAGGAAAGGCAAACACAAAGGATATTTCCAAAATTTTACCTCCGACCGAACACCTCCGGGCTATTTCCCAGTAAACCAGACCAACAGAATAGATGTCAGCTCGTTTGAAGGACTCAAAGATATTCACATTCATTGTATCATCAAGCATTTCAGGAGCCATATACCTTCAAAAACATGCACATTTCAGATTCTGTGTATGACTTTATAGCACTCCAGTAAAACAATCTTAATAAATTAGGATAGCTTATGCCATTTTAAAAGGCAGATTTGAGGCATGAATAAAATCAAAGAATACATTATTGACTCAACCATCAAGTGTGTTCAGCAGCACTCCACCCATACTTTCTCTCAGTGAACAATTTTATTATACAAAAAATATAGCCATGTTTGAACAAGAGTCAGTGTAAGAAATCTACAGTCCATGGACCTGACCGAGCCTCGCTGTACTAGGGAGATTTTGGAGATTTCCCAGAATACTGAAGTGAGGATGCAACACCATCCCAAGTTCTTGCAAGGGTGTTAGATCCTCTGAAGGAATCCAGCATCCAAGGCTTCCCTGAAGGTTCCTGATGTGGGGATAATCAGATGGGTGAGCTAAGGCTTTTCTTGCACAGGGAAAAGAAGTCCCTTAGGGCTACCCAGTGTGAATAAACTGCCCGGAAGTGCTCCTGGGGTCTCATTAAAGTCTCCCAGTGAATCATGAGAGGCATTCACAGGCACTGTCCTGGGAATCTCAAATACGGCTTGAAGGCCAGCTATAGCAGCTTAGAATTTCTGTACTCTCAAGGGCCTTTAACAACTCCAAAAAAATATTTTGGTTGTTTCTAATTTCAAGGTGAAGAACTCTGGAATTTTGCCAAAGTAATATAGAGCCTGAAATTCAAGTAAAAAGAATTGGAAGTAGGCTGGCCATATGGCCAAAGGCTGGCTATAACAAGAAAAACACCAGAAATCCCATTCCTAATGGGCCGGACCTGACACATGCGTGGTATATGTTGTTACCTCACGCTCATTCTTAATCTTCAGATTCTGTTCCTTGAAAGTGGGAACTGTATCCAAACTCATATTATCTTAATACATGTCAATTTGGGAGACTTAATGATAAGTAAAAGTATAGGTAATACATAAACTGTGATTTAAAGAATAAGGCAATATAGTAGCACATAAGTGTATTCCGCATATAGAGTCCCTACCTATCTATTTCAACATATTGATTCTGTGTCTGTTGTGTAGAACCTGAATATGTAGAACTAGTCCTGAGTTTCAGTTCATTTATGGGATATAAAGGCTTTGGAGGAGCTACATACTGCTGACATTTTTTTTCTTATCTGTAGGAAAATGCATTCTCAGAAGATGGCACACTAAAAATAATACATCACTATCTCTTCCACCGTTTCTCTCCACTGGACTCTGTAGCTAAATGGCTGCAATCCATGTGGCCCAAAATGCCAGCTCTCCTTGCTTTATAACCATTATGCCCACTAACTTCTCAGTGACCCAGAGAAGACTTCTGGATTTCTTGGACCCAGTGGTTTCCCATTTGGACCTGAGCCTCCTCCACACACATGAGGACATTCATGCTTATTGGGCACTCTCACATCTTACTATGCTACCCAAGTCAGTCATCTTACCTCTTCGTTCCCACTTTAGGATTCTGAGGTATGTCGATAGTGTTCAGTATTGAATCATGCTTCACAGCCAACCCTAAGTCCGCTATGGCACAAGTTTCACATTTTTTCACTAAGATATTCTTTGATTTTATGTCTCGATGAGCAATAGCAGGTTTACCTATGAAGCATAAGAAGAACAAATTCATTTTTTCTTTACCGAAGACTGTTCAAGAGAAATCATCCTGAAGACTTAGCTCTAAATGAGCTAATTCAAAAAGAGTGTTCTTCAAAGCTCCTGTCACTATCTAAATTATCTTGTTTATTTATGTACCTGCTGAATCATCTGTCTCTCCCAAGTAAACTGTAAACTGAATAAGGACAGTAACTATTTTGTTCAACAACATTCCTCTATTGCTTAGAGCACTAGATGACTAGATCACTAATAAATATTTTTTAATAGATGAAGTGAGAATTAGTACTGCTATGTCCTCATAAGAGCATAGCAAATATTGTTTTACAAAATAAGTCTGAAAACTTCTATTACCCCACACCAGCAGTTCTCAGTTGTGGCCAAAAGATCCCTAAGGTCCTTGCAACTCTTTTCTAACTATGCATCTGTGTGACACCACCTTGTCTTCACATATTTCAACCAAAACAACGTATGAGAACAGACGGAATGAAGAACAGGTATGAAAATCCAGACATCAAAACAGACATTAAAGGGATTTGCAACAATGTAAAACAAAACCAATATTTTCGATTGATCAGTTTTTGTATTAGAAAAAAATGTTGTTACATTTAAAATGTTATTTATGTTAACATTTAATTGGTTATTATTTTAAGCAAATTAATAAGTACTTTTAAATTCCTCAATTTTAATTTCTAATACTGTAAACGGTAACAGATACAAGTTACATACACAAAAACCTTTGTAGTCCTCAATAATTTTAAGAGTGTAAAGAGATCATGAGTTCAAATTTGAGAACCACTGCCCTGTCTAGACTAATTGACTCTCTAGAGTCAACCTCTTAACTCAATAAATAGAAACGGCAGTAGGTACTATTTGGCTTCAAGTACATGATATACAATTTTTTTTTCAAAATCACATTATACTTTCCAATTACTTTTTTAATTATCAAAAGTAAACATTTAAATTATTTGTATTCTGTGAATATAGGACATTTGCCACTAAAGCAAGATCTCTGGGTACATATGCTAAATGGCAAAGATGGAACCACTAGGAATAATTTTTTTTTAATATTATTATGGATAAGATACAAAATAGTGAGTATATTGATGAGAGTTGGCTATATCATGACAACACCTTTAGCTTTAAAAATTACCTTTATTGTTTCTTTACCCTTTTTTTTTTTTTTTTTGAGATAGGGTTTCGCTCTGTCACCCAAACTAGAGTGCAGTGGTGCAATCGTAACTCACTGCAGCCTGGAGGTGATCCTCCTACCTCAGCCTCCCAAGTGGCTGGAACTAAAGGCACATGCCACCACAACCGAACTTTTTTTTTTTTTTTTTTTTTTTTTGGTAGAGATGGAGATCTCACTATGTTGCCCAGGCTGGTCTCAAATTCCTGGCCTCAAGTGATCCTCTCACGTAGACTACCAAAATGCTGGGATTATGGGTGTAAGCCACCATGCCCAGCCTAAAGAAATAATAATTAATTATTTCTAATAAATTAAAATATAACTAAGTACTTCTATCCTCATATTCAAAGTGGAAAAAAATGAAAAGGAAATATATACCTTGTGTCCCAACAATCTCCATATGAAGGTGTGCCAGACCACTAGCAATTGAGAGCGCCAGCTTGATCATTCCAGCCACCGTCACTATATTTCTATTCAAATAGTCATATAAGGAGCCCTGTTCATGATATTCAGATACCAGCCAAAGTTGAGTCCAGGTTCCATTATCTAATAAGAAAATATAATTTTGTTGTTGTAAATACATATTGAGAAAGAAGCCAAAAGCTTTTGACAAATATCAGTGTTTAATCAGTGTCTAATCTGTATTGTTAACAAAGCAAAGTTAATTGCTTCAGTGGTAATGCTTACAGTCCAAGTTAGTAAAGAAAAAATTCTCAATGAATTCCTGAAGATACTGATATGTTGGAACCATAAAAATAAAAAGTTGTGAGGTTGTGATTGATTCTAACAACTGAATAACTCCTTTCTCATTTCCTCTCTATCAATACCTGCTAGCAATAGTAACCACATTATAGGAGAAATCACTGAGAGATGCATTTAGGCTCAGTGTTGTGTTATAAATTACTCTGAGCTTTTAAGAAAAATTGTACCAATAAAGATTAGAAATATAACAAATGTACACAAAGTATTATTTCTATCATAAAAGCTCTAACATTCTAAAAATGTTGATGTTATTTACCTTTCAAAATATAAAGTTGATGATTTTCCCCAAAAGCTTATAGTAAGAGCCAAACACAATTACTAGACATTTTCAAATAATTTGCCTCATTTAGCCAACACCTAATCCAGCTTATAAAAGACGTTTAGAAAAGCAATCACCCTAAAACTTTTCTACATATTAGTAGAGTGAGCTTTAGTTTTTGAAATAAAATGTCTACAGTAACCCTGGGCGGTCCTGACCAGTTCTGACACTCAGGGAAAGGATCTATAATGAACATTTGCTAAGGACCTATCTGACCAAATGCTTTATGTATAACAGCTCTTTGTTATCCAAATATTTAATTTCCAAATCTGGGTAGTGATAAAAATTTCCTACGAATTTAAAAGTCAACATAACATGGTAAAGCTCATTAACATACAACATATAAAAATAATCCTTACTCACACCTCTCTCCCTGATTGACACCAGTGGCTATCTTGCCCTCTAACATCAATGCTTTTGTCAGACAGTTGACTAAAGAGTGAATCTGTAAATGTTGCAAAAGGTAAAGGAATTAAAAAATCAAAGTGAAGTTAGAGATCATTTGGAATCATGCAAAAAGCCACTGACAAGTTAGGAGATGATAGAGGTAGACCAGTTAAACTCAAGAAGAGAAAACCAAGGATAATATCTCTAGTGCATATTATTATTTTATTTTTATGTATTCATTTTTTGAGACAGAATGTCACTCTGTCGCTCAGCTGGAGTGCAGTGGTGCAATCTCGGCTCACTGCAACCTCTGCCTCCCGGGTTCAAGCAATTCTCCTGCCCCCGCCTCCTGAGTAGCTGGGATTACAGGCATCTGCCACCAAGCCCAGCTAATTTTTTTTTTTTTTTTTTTTTTTTTTTTTTGTATTTTTAGTAGAAACGGGATTTCACCATGCTGGCCAGGCTAATCTTGAACTCCTGACCTCAGGTGATCCGCCCACCTTGGCCTCCCAAAATGATGGGATTACAGGTGTGAGCCACCATGTCTGGCCAATGCATATTATTTTATAATCCAATAAACATCATGATTAAACTAGCCCATGAAGATGATCCATGTACAGTCATAACTGCTTTGACAGAGTTGCTGCTTAATCCAACCAGCAGGAAGTTCAGCTCAAGATTAGGAGGGAAAAGAAAGCATTCTTAACAGCTAAATAAGAAATGTCTCCTCAATGATCTGGATACAGTTTCAAAGTATATGTAGTTACAAATCTGGAAAGAACTTTTTTTGTTAGCCGTCTTGCCTTTACCCCGTTTCTCCTTAGCAAATCAGAAATGGCAAATCATTAACAAACATAATTATGGCCAAAATGTATGCTAAATGCTAAGCCTCTCTTTTTCCATCCAAGTAATAATGAATACTTTTATGATTAAGTTTATATTAGATAAAATTGACTATAGGTTCTGAATTTTCACAGGCAATGGTGGATCCTTGACATTCATAGATAATTTGTCTTAACACTTTTTTAGACTGGGGTTACAACCTCGACTCTACCAAAGTTCTTCCTGAGTATTACTAACTAGAGTTAAGGTTTAAAAGCCGACTGAATCAAGTTTTCCTCACTTTTGTTACCTATTGGGGCACTAATGAACAGTTAAATAACAATTGCGTAAAAAAGAAGAGTAAAAGCATAGATAATCAACGAATTTTATATCCAATCTGTGATTATACAAGCATAGGTATTTCAAATATAAGAAAGCTGATGCTCTGACTTGCTCCATGAAACTCAAAAAATAACAAACACTACATGGCACCGTTAATGGTGGTCTCAAGACACAAACTGTGCACAAAGTAACATTCACAGAAAAGTTCACTAAAAGTGTCTTGCTTGCCACCATTCCAATACAATCAAAAGAGAATATTTTCAGAAATTTTGAGTCTTGAAGATGAAGGCTGTTATACGGATGAAAAATACAGCCCTAACAAAGTTGAGCATTCAGCTAGTATTAATTGGTATGTCTGTATTGGTTATTAAAATATTGAAATATTTCTGTCCTGGTTGGTAAACAGCTGCTATTCAAAACTCCTGGGCTGGGCGCAGTGGCTCAAGCCTGCAAATCCAGCACTTTGGGAGGCCGAGGAGGGCGGATAACGAGGTCAGGAGTTCAAGACCAGACTGGCCAACATAGTGAAAACCCTGTCTCCACTAAAAATACAAAAATTAGCCAGGTGTGGTGGCAGGTGCCTGTAGTTCCAGCTACTTGGGACTACTTGGGAGGCTGAGGCAGGAGAATCGCTTGAACCCAGGAGGCGGAGGTTGCAGTGAGGTGAGATCGTGCCACTGCACTCCAGCCTGGGCAACATAGTGAGACTCTGTCTCAAAAAAACAAACAAAAACTCCCAATGATACTCCTTTGCCCTAGACATCCAGATGCCTCCATATCTCTTCATGACCAAGCAGCATCTAATGGGATAAAACCTAGCACGGCAGAGTTCTCCAGGATTCTGCTCCAGTTGAGGCTTCTGTTCTGATTAGTTGGTTCCTGCACCAAACAAGTTAGCAAACATTTTAAGCACCACCCTGGCTATCTGGACATCATGATTTCCTATCACTCATTTGCCCTGCTTCATTGTATGGTTATGTACATTTATCTGTGGGAAAGAGGAAAGGATTTTATGCAAATTAGACTTTCATATAGACTTTATTAAAACAAAGAGATGAATTTAATTTTTCTTATCTGATACTAGACAACATTTTTTCACTTGTTGAACACAATTAGATTGGAAATACCTTTGTTGTCAGCAGCAATGAAACCAAGGATGTTTTCATGTCGCAGCATGACCGTCTGGTAAATTTCTGCCTCACGAAACCAAGATCTTTCATCTCTGGAGGAGAATATTTTCACAGCCACATCTTCCCCACACCATCTTCCATGCCACACCTCACCAAATCTACCTTTTCCTACTATTTCCTGAAGCACAATCGTCCTTGCAATTGTCCTTTGAACCAACAGAGGTAGACCTAACCAAAGAAAAGATGGAATTGATGATTAAACACAAATGCCAGAAAAGAACTCTCATAATAATCGCTGTTTTCAGATTTTAAAAAAGCAAGTATTTAAGTGCTTTAATAATTTTGTCTATTTTGAAGGAATAAGTACCATTGTAGCAAACTTATTTAATGTCAAAGCATGCTGAAAAAAAACTTCAAATTATGAATATGAATTTGTCTTCTCGTATTCACAAGTAAAAATTTTTTGAACATAGCCTGCTGCTGCAGATACCTGATTTCCAAGAATTGCTGGAAATCTCCTTCATTTGCCCATCAAAGCCAGTCAGGTTACTAAGTACACAAGAGTAAAAGCAAAAAAAAAAAAAAGAAAAAAAAAATGTGTTAGCCTCTAAAATAAAATGTATGGTTCCTGGTACAACTGGAAGTACAAAATAATTATTTGTGAATTTTTTCAAAACCAAGCTGAAATTGGAAAGTGAAGAATCAAATGCAATGATGATGTGAGACACTTATATTACACTAAAAGCAAGATACAGTCAAATGAGATATCAAATAAATATTTTCTGCGGAACAGAAAAAAATTTCAAAGAAAATATATCCTGAATGCATGTATGATGCTTCTATTCTTTGAACTACTAACTCCACCTCTAGAATTCTGTCGCAAATACCTAATGCAAAATGCAGAAAAATTTATGTCAAGATATTATTATTTATAGGAAAAAATAAGTAAAAGTGTCAGGTAATGGAATAATTGTGAAATAAAGTGTAGAGATTGAGAGCACAGGTGGGTTCAAATTTCAGCTCTGCCACCTGATAATCACGCACAAGTTCTTTCACCTGTCTGTGCTTCAGCTTCTTCATCTGAAAAGCTGGGGATAATCAACATTACCCATCCCATAGAGATGATTTGAGAATTAATAAGCCTGTTCAGCACCTAGCACAGTATCTGGCCTATTACATGCTCAGTAATGGTTAACATTATGTTAATCTTAGGACGGCTTACTCAGAGCCAATAATAATGATGACGCTTATGAAGAGATATTTAATAACATAAAAAAATTTTTGCTATACTATTAAATAAAAACAGCATAGAACATTTTATTCTTATAAATATAAGTGTACCTAGCTATTCAAAATACGCACAGAAAATAAGACTCAAGAGGAAATATGCTAAATGTTATGATGGTTATTTCTCTTGGTGAAACTGGGGTGAGTTATGATAGTCTTCTTTCTAATTTTCCACATTTTCTTTATTTCCACAATAGATATTTATTACTCTAAAATCAAAGGAAAAAATAGTTAAAGAGGTTACAGTCTACGTGTATTCTGAAAAGTCACATTCAGTTACTGTGTTTGTACTCAGCTAGGGAGCCCTCATAGCAATGACCCTGTCTTGCGAGGGCTTTGGTCCCTGCACCTAAAACGGGTCACTGTTCGTTCACATGTTCTCATATGAACATATAAGCACAGGCTAAATAAGCACAGACTACAAATCTGTTGTTACAGATCTCAACAATTAGTCACAAAACCCTACAGAAAGTTTTTTTGAAATCATCTGGTGCAACCCTATCATTTTAGAGATGGCAAAACTGAGGTCCCTCGATAATCAAAGTCTTTCCCAGGATTATGCTGCTAGTGAGAGGCAGACCTAGAATTAAAACAGGGATCTTCAGTGCAAACTCTTCCTCTCTAGAAGCAAACTATAAGGACTGTTTTTGTTTGTTTTTGTTTTTTGAGATGCAGTCTTGCTCTGTCAGGCTGGAGTGCAGCAGCATGATCTCAGCTCACTACTATCTCCACCTCCCAGGTTCAAGCAATTCTCCCACATCAGCCTCCTGAGTAGCTGGGATTACAGGTGTGCACCACTATGCCTGGCTAATTTTTGTATTTTTAGTACAGAAGAGGTTTCACCATGTTGGCCAGGCTGGTCTCAAACTCCTGACCTCAAGTGATCCACCTACCTCGGCCTCCCAAAGTGTGGGGGATTACAGGCGTGAGCCACCGCGCCCGGCCTGGACTGTTTTTGCAGGCAACAATCAATTTTACTACTTGACCACACACTAAGAGTTGTACTAACAATTATTACGTCAAATCTCAATCTCAGTCTCTCCCTTCCTCCTGCTACCCTATAGTCTTATCTGCATACACACACACACACTCACAGAAACATCACTACCAACAACCAGCACTACCCAAAACACAACAAATGGATAGAGAGCTAGATAAGCTTATGCTTTCAAACGGAAAATTAATCAAGTACATAATCAGTGGTGCAGATCAGGAACAAAGTAAGACAACAACATATAAAGTACTCAAGACAGCAATTAAATTGAGACATTAAAACTCAATAAAACTTGCTTTGGTATCTTTCAAAGCAATCACCAAAATGAATCTAATTCTTCTGGTATGCACCTAGACATTTGATTTGAAGATACATGGATTTTTGCTTCTCCCTGTAGGTTCATTTCAATCTTTTAAGCAGGGGTTGTAGAAAGTTAGCTTTCAAGAATGTCACCATCAGTCAGAATTGTTACACTACAAGGGAAAAGCAGCAGCCTACCCAGTTTCTTGGAAGCCATCTGAGACACCATCCATTCTCATCAGTCCATTTCCCCTCTTGCAGGCATTATATACATCTTTGAAATTTGTCCCTGACCAGGTCAAGAATAAGCTTCCCAGTTTTTGTTCCTCAGCATCCAACAAAACTGTCTCACATGTAAAGTTATTGGCCAATTAAGAAAAGCAGAGGGAAGCAGACTCCCCCTTCCTCCAATCCCCTCCCTACAGGTGAGTTTTTAGGACTGAGGTCTCACTGCGGATACACCCATTCTCTGATTATCATAGGCAGGGAGGCCTTCTGTTACTTTCAGCTGCTGGTCACTGCCAAACATATGCAACTGGCTTTGGGGGAAAAAAATGCCTAACGCTCTTTCAGATTGGTATTTCAAGAAATCATCCATGCTTGGGTACATTTACTACTTTTTATTTTTTTTTTAAACGAGAGATCTTAGAAAAATCTGAAAAGGAGAGAGTCCAGAATCAGTAATTCCAGATTTAGGTTTAAACATGCAAAAAACACCAGAAAATGTAATATTAATTTTTGATTTATGCCCAAGTCCATTACTACTTTCTCAAACTAAATCCCAATCTCTAGTATTAAAATCTGAATTACTTTCATTTGAAAGGAAAATCTTTGGTTATCTTAAATGTATTTAAGGAATAGCTCCAAAATACCTAACATCTTCAGATAAATTAAAATGTTTTGGGGGATGGGGATTAAGCAGAGAGTTATGTAACCTCTTGAACCTTATAAAGAAATCATATAAGGTTTCAAGAAACTTGCCATAAATCAGAGGTCTTTGTGCCTAGAATGTTGTCAATATTCAAGAAATCAAGGCACGGTGGGCCTCAAAGTGTCAGAGTCAAATAAGGAAAGAGTATTGAATACCAAGTTTTAATTTTAAAGAAAAATCTGTCTGGTGCATTGGCTCACACCTGCAATCCCAGCACTTTGGGTGACAGAGGCAGGCAGATCACTTGAGTTCAGGAGTTTGAGATGAGCCTGGACAACATGGTGAAACTCCATCTCTACTAAAAACGCAAAAATTAGCCAGGTGTAGTGGGGCACACCTATAATCCTAGCTACTTGGGAGGCTGAGGTAAGAGAATCACTGGAACCCAGGAGGGAGACGTAGCAATGAGCCAAGATAGCACCACTGCACTCCAGCCTGGGTAACAGGGTGAGAATCTGGAAAAGAAAAGAGGAGAGGAGAGGGGAGGGGAGGGAAGAGGAGAGGAGAGGGAGGGAAGGAAAGAAGGAAGGAAAGAAGGAAGGAAGGAAGGAAGGAAGGAAGGAAGGAAGGAAGGAAGGAAGGAAGGAAGGGAGGGAGGGAGGGAGGGAGGGAGGGAGGGAGGGAGGGAGGGAGGGAGCGAGGGAGGGAGGGAGGGAGGGAGGGAGGGAAGAAGGAAGGAAAGAAAGAGGGGGGAGAGAGAGAGAAGGAAGGAAGGAAGGGAGGGAGGGAGGGAGGAAGGAAGGAAGGAAGGATGGAAGGAAGGAAGGAACATGCCAGTCTTCTAGCCAATAATTTAATTTAATTTAATTTCCGGTTTTTAAAACTTTGCAGTTTGGGAGTTTTCTTACCAGTATTCTTCCCTTGAAAGATGCTACCTAATGTGTACAGTGATGGTGTAAACATTTAGACTTTGTCAGTGGGGGGCCAGGTGATTTTGCCCCAGAAGGAGCAAACTCTCTGGGTTCGACTATGCTTTTCTTTTCTGATGAATACAAAGCTGCTTCACGCTAAATATGGATGCACACAGAGATGTTATCACCCCTCTGTCCCCTACCTCTGTTAATTGTGTCTGCGTGAATTTTCCTGAAAGCCATTGGCAAGGGAGTTCTTCAAAATGTTGGGCTACAATCTTAATGATCCTTCCAAAACAAGAAGAGATGCAGGGGCCTCTGAAGTGGTTCACCTAGGGTTACTCTTGTTCCTATTTCCGTAAACCATGAGCTAGCAGGATTTCTGGATATATATATATATAGAATCCCCTACCATTTTATGGAGTTTGTTACTCTGGGAAAAACTGTCTTCCCACTAACCCCAACCTCCTGGAAAAAAAAAAAAAAAAAAAACAACTTCAAATGCTTTGTGTTGTGAGAGAGGCTCATTTAGGCTATAATACAGCCTGGTACTTTGAATGCTTTACCTGGGGTTCTGGAGTTCCATTAAAGAGGAAGAGGGTTATTAATATACAACTGTAGCCAGCAAAAGCCAGCACAGGAATGCTACACTGCTGTCTGTAATCTTCTGTTTCTTTGCTTTAAGAACATATTCTTGATTTAATTTCAGGTGTGTTCCCTGTTAGCTTCACACATATCCCAGGGGGTGTCTATAGATTCTGAAAATCCTCATAACCACAAGCAAAAGTGCTCAAAGAACACTACTTTGTATAACCCACATCTTTCCCTCAGAACTCAACACCTTAAATACTATAACCCTAACTCTTTTGTGTCCATAAAACATTACCAAGAAAGCAACAGTGATTGTTAGTAACCATAATAGGGGGAGGTAGGGAGGAGAGAAAGGAAACTGCTTTCTTGCTTCAGAAATAAATTCTGAAGGAAAGTGAACGTAAGAATCTGAACACCTAAAGTTACAAAAAGCAACTGAGAAGACTTAATTCTATAGGCCACAATGGTTTTTCTCTACCTCAGGTACTAAAAGGAGTTCCTATACCAGAGCGCACCATGTATCCTTTCAAGATGGAATGCATAGTATTTGGGCCCTTTTGTTAAAAAGTTTTTATTTACTTTTCAATAAAGAGTTTGCTTATGAAAAAATGGACAATGGTAACATACCAGAGCCAGATCCAGAGGCAGTTACATCATAAATCAGATCTTTCAGGGTTTTTCCAGCATTTACCAGATTGCACTCAGAGAGTGGTTCCTCCACATTCGGTCTCTTTTTCTTCCTGTAGGAGCACTGTCGACCCTGGCATGCCCATATTGTCAGCATCGCAGCTATGGACAGGAGGCAAACAGGCACAGTAATAATGATGGCCAGCTCCATCGGTCCAAGTTTTGGGGCATTTGGTGACGCTAAAGTTTAAAGAAGAAAGAACATGACCATAAATCAACCCATTTTAAGTATTTTTGGAATTGGAATTGCAATCACCAAAATTTCACATCCAGAATATGCAGCTACACAGTATGCACTTATGTTCATTGGTAAAGGCTCTCTGTGGTATAAGAAAAGATGGAGAAAAAGAAATGAGATGAGGCTGCAGCTAGGAATGGTTATGGCAGGTGACAATAAGAAATATGATTAGGATAATGGAAACTAGCACATGGGATCTGTTTTACGATCTCTGAAGCATTTTACTCTTTTCTATCTACTATTTTTCCTCCATTATTCAGCAGTACACTTTTTTTTTTCACTCTATCACCCAGGCTGGAGTGCAGGGGTGCAATCTGGGCTCACTGCAACCTCCACCTCCCAGGTTCAAGCCATTCTCCTGCCTCAGCCTCCTGAGTAGCTGAGACTACAGGCGCCCACCACGACACCCGGCTAATTTTTGTATTTTTATTAGAGACAGAGTTTCACCATGTTGGCCAGGCTGGTCTCAAACTCCTGACCTCAGGTGATCCACCCACCTCAGCCTCCCAAAGTGCTGAGATTACAGGCGTGAGCCACCATGCCTGGCCACAGTAGTCCACTTTTAAAGTATGTACATTCATTCTTTCATGCCAAAATAATTATTGGGCTCTTGCAATGTGTTGCTGCTATTCCAGGTGCTGGATATACAATGGTGAGGAAAGAGCCCAAATTCCTGTTCTTGAGTCATATATGTTCTCACTCATCTACTAAACAGATGTTTAACACAAAAGCAAGAAAGAATGGTGCTACAGAAAAAAAAAAAAAGAAAGAAAGAAAATGAAGCAGGGAAGAGAAAGGGAATGATGGTGGGATGAAAAGGATTAAGAAAAGGACTGTGAATTTTATTCTAAAAAGTTGTTTCAGGGTTTTGGTAGGTGAGAAGCATGATCTAACTTTTATTCTGAGTGGCCGCTGTGTGAATAGGCACTAGAGAAGCAAGAATAAACGTGAATAGGCCAATTAGAAACCTAATGCAAGAAGCCAGTTGGGAGACCGTGGTGTTGGCTGACAACCTTACCTAAAATAGCACTTCTTTCCCATTCCCTGTACACTCTCAAGACCCTTGTCCTGCTTGATTTTAATTCCTAGCTCTGATCACCACCTAACACATCACATACTCATTTATTGATTACCCAGTTCCCTCCAGAAGACATAAGCTTCGGGAGAGGAAGAAGTCTGCCTGCTTTGTTCCCAGCCATATGTCCAGTGTTTACAATGATGCCTGACACATAGTAGATGATCAGTAAATAGTTCTTCAATGACAGAATCACTAAAAGTTCTACTAGTGGTATTCCTATAAGAGACAAGACTTTTCATTTTAGAAAAATAAATGTGATCATTGAAACCAAGTAACATAAGGATATAATTAAATTTGTGATTCTAATTTTAAAAACACATGAAGCCAATTTTTTTTTTGCTTAAACTTCATCTTGCATTTAAGAAATCTTTTTTTAATTTAGAAAAAAAAAGTGATACATGAAAAATCTATGATGACAGATAATTTCCTGTGTTTTTCAAAGAAGTTATTTTGACACTTGAAACTGACACATTGTTCATTTCCTTTTCGTTGACTAAAGATAGCCACTGCATCAATCCCATTTCATCCCTTTGTCCTACTACTGTGGTGTTGATTTTTGTTTTTAATAAATCTTACAGCATATTTGATAGACTATGGGAACAGAATTGAAGAGATTTAGGTTCTCAAACATCAAGGAGAAGGAGAGGAATCCAGGTTTTAGAGACAGAGACACCAGCTCCACCTGTGGGCTGCCATCTTCTTGCTGTGAACCTTTGGCAAACTGCCTCCCCAGCTGATTCCTCACAGACCAAAGAATGGGAGACTATGCTTGGAAATCAATAGCCTGACACCAGCACCAGGGCATCTAAACAAATGGCAATGATAATGGGCCTTGATAGTTTTGCCATTCCCCAGATGTCCTCCTTTGCACTGACAATGCTAAAGAGCTTAATATCTTAGACGTTCTTACACTTTACCTACGATGTGTCAAAAAATACATGACTATCATTGAAAACAAATATTAATTAATTCTGAAGGAAAAAGAATCAAATTCCTCATAAATGTGTTCATAGAAATTTCACTATAATGCCAAAGATAGTAGTTTATCTACTATCAGTAAGTAAAATATTTAAAATTGTTAAGTGAACTTCAGAAATGATCATAATCCGTGCTGTTCTACTACTTTGCCTAGTGAATTTTAACTGATTACCAACTTTTCTTCCCTGAGTGTTTCAGAATTCCTCTGAAATCATTAGTAGTTATACAGGTGCATATGAGGAGAAATTGGCCTAGAGTGTTCTTAGAATAGGTACTAAAAGAATTCTCTGACTTGACTTTGTTTTAGTAATCATTAGCCACAGTAATTCCAACTTCTAAAGTTTGCTGTTCTAAAATTGTGTATTTCACAATGATCTTTCAAACTGTCTCTATATTTTTATGTCTGCACAAAGGTATTCCAGTTTTTCTAAAAAAGCCACAGAATGCATTTAATCTCCTGCATCTTACATAAACATCTACTTAAATGTGTTTTTAAATATACAATTCCACTATTGAATCCAATTACATGACTAAATTTTATTTTGATATGTGTTATTAGGAACCATCAATAAAACATTAGCATTAACAAGCTTATTGATCGTCATCATTTTTGTAAAGCTCTATTAAGCAGAGCTCACATCATCACTATAGCAACTAATAAAAAAGCAAAAGGTCAGCAACCCTAAAAATAGAATAATCTCCATAAAAGTATACCACTCTAGCGATGGCTATGGCTCTCAGAGATGTTTATTATAGATGAACAATGTTTCTACTTTTGTGAACAAATTTACCAATATGAGTCAGTAAAGAAAAAAGATTACTCAGCTAGAAAAAGTCTAGCAACACCATTCTGTAAGAACTCCTTAAACACTGAGGAATTTTAAAAGCAAACATTTGTAAAACTATGCTTTAAACGTAATGCTGATGATAATCACTAGAGGAGATAAATTAAAAAAAAAAAAAAAAAACTGTAGTCTACATCCAGCAAATCATGGTACAAGAAAACAATCATGCAGCTAAGAATAGGTTTCAATAATAGCTAACTTTGATGAACATATTAATTTTTCTAGCAGTTTTACATTCTTGATCACAGGAAAACTTATTATTTATATGCTTTGCAATTTAGGGGATTTTCTGTGCCAAGTGAGATGCATTCTCCATGGAATTAGCAGCTCCATGGAGGGACACGTTAAATCCCAAAAGTGAGGTGGGAGGAGGGCTGCATTGTTAATTCAAGTCATTTCACTCCTTAGAAAATTAGGTTGAAGAGGATGGGGAAAATGAGAAAAAAGCACTAACCCAGAAAGGGTGAGGGCCTAGCTGACAAATATTTTCCCAAAATAAGCCCTACAATATGTTAAACTGAGATAATGCAAGGGAAGGAAGTATTAACAAGATAGCAGGAAGAGAAGGGGGAAGGGAGAGAAGGAGAGAGGAAAGGAAGGAAAGAGGAAGGAAGGAAGGAAGGAAGGAAGGAAGGAAGGAAGGAAGGAAGGAAGGAAGGAAGGAAGGAAGGAAGGAAGAAGAGGAAAGAAGGAAGGAAGGAAGGAAGGAAGAGGGAGAGAGAAGCAAAAGAAGGCAGGAGGGAAGGAAGAAAGAAGGAGGGAGGAGGGAGGGAGGAAGGAAGGGAAGGCAGAGAAGGAAAGGAAGGAAGGAAGGAAGGAAGGAAGGAAGGAAGGAAGGAAGGAAGGAAGGAAGGAAGGAAGGAAGGAAGAAAATTTTTAATTTATCTTTGTGACTTTTGCAACTCTCCCTGGAGACCTGCGTGGAACTGGTGGTTGTGAAAGTCACCGCTGGTTGCCACTGTCCAAGTGAAGACTTAGTTTAGATGCAGCAGCTTCTCCCAGAACAGTTTACTATTCCCATTACCTCCTCACTACTTCCTATTTCTTGCTTTAAGGAGCGCCTCAAGATGAAAAGAAAAAGATAAGACAATGTAGACATCATCCCCACATTTCCTTCCCTGCTCCTTCTTTATTGAAAGTATGAGAAAATATTGATGTTTATGAGATTTACATGACCTTCAATTTAATTAATTTACATTTCCTTAGCATATGCTATAAGAAGGAGATGGCTATGTGAACCTGAAAAAGTCAATCCCTCAAGATGAATCCTGAGTGGCAAACAGGACCTAAATTTAAAATAGAACCAAGTGGCCATTTGCTGACTTGAGGTTACACACACACTGTGAGTTCCCAGAAAAGCCATACATCTGCTTAACTCTGAAACTTTCATAATTAACTGTTCTTGCCCATGTTACCTGAATCAATCAATAGACTGTGGTCTGCATCAACCAATCAGAACTAAGCAACTTCTAATCTTTCATTTTCATAGGAGGACCTGACTGAAAACCTAAATGGGAACTTTCTCTATAAAAGCCAAACAAACCCTGCCTTTGTTCTCTGGAATGCACCTTCAGTTTATGCTGAGGGCTATTTCTACCCAGTTTGCAAACTGTTTACTAGAATAAAATCTCTTTCCTCTAAATTCCTTCTCAGAACTTTTGCTCACACTTAGAAGTGGAGGTGTGTACTTGATCAATTGCTTCAAATAATCATATGGACTACTGGCATGGAAATCTTCTAGTATAATAGCTACATTTCAAATTACAGACACATTTCCCCACTATATTAAAATGGCAATCAGCTGACTAAAAACCAAAGCATTACAATGGAGTGACATATTAGAAACCCTCTGAGAATAGAGGAAGTGAAGAGATATGTCCTGCTGGAAAATTGTTTAGAAACAAACAAACAAACCAGACATCTTCATCCAAATAAAGTTCATTCTTGTAAAACCTTTCAAGGTTAGTGCTTCCATCCCAAAAGTCACTGTCATTTTGCATTAAAACTACTCTCCCTGCCGGGCACGGTGGCTCAAGCCTGT